AACCCAACTAACTCCCCTCCCTCACACACCCAATTCTCTGGGATGGTCACTTCACCCCTCCCCCCCACCGCGTGGTTAACAGCGGGGACTATTTCTGTTCAGCAGAGCAGGAAGGGGCACCTCTGAATGTCCCCTTAATAAAATTGCCCCATTTTAACCAGGTGACCGTGAATGATATCACTCTCCTGAGGATAACAAAGAGAGATAAGGAATGGATGTTGTCTGCATGCCAGCAAACACCGGGACCATACGCTGCCATGCTTTGTTATGCAATGATTCCAGACTACGTGCTACTGGCCTGGCGTGGTAAAGTGTCCTACCATGGCGGACAGGATAAGGCAGCCCTCCCCAGAAACCTTTTGCAAAGGCTTTGGGAGTACATGAAAGAGAGCTTTCTGGAGATGTCCCTGGAGGATTTCCGCTCCATCCCCATACACGTTAACAGACTTTTCCAGTAGCTGTACTGGCCGCGATTGCCAGGGCAAATTAATCATTAATCATTAAACACGCTTGTTTTTAAACCATGTGTAATTTTTGCAAAGGTACACTCACCAGAGGTCCCCTGTGTGCCCTCAGGGTCTTGGGTGAGTTCGGGGGTTACTGTTTCCAGGTCCAGGGTGACAAACATATCCTGGCTGTTGGGGTAACTGGTTTCTCCGCTTCCTTGCTGCTGTGAGCTATCTATGTTCTCTCCATCCTCATCTTCCTCGTCCGCCGAACCCGCTTCCCCGTTTGCAGAGAGGGACTCATAGAACACGCTTGGGCTAGTGGTGGCTGCACCCCCTAGAATGGCATGCAGCTCCGCGTAGTAGCGGCATGTTTGCGGCTCTGCCCCGGACCTTCCGTTTGCGTCTCTGACTTTGTGGTAGGCTTGCCTTAGCTCCTTAATTTTCACGCGGCACTGCTGTGTGTCCCTGTTATGGCCTCTGTCCTTCATGGCCTTGGAGATCTTTTCTAATGTTTTGCCGTTTCTTTTACTGTTTCGGAGTTCGGCGAGCACTGCTTCATCTCCCCAGATGGCGATCAGATCCCGTACCTCCCGCTCGGTCCAGGCTGGAGCTCTTCTGCGATCCTGGGACTGGGACTGGGACTCCATCATGGTTACCTGTGCTGATGGGCTCTGCATGGTCACCTGTGCTCTCCACGCTGAGCAAACAGGAAATGAAATTCAAACGTTCGCGGGGCTTTTCCTGTCTACCTGGCCAGTGCATCTGAGATGACAGTGCTGTCCAGAGCGGTCACAATGAAGCACTGTGGGATAGCTCCCGGAGGCCAGTAATGTCGAATTCCGTCCACACTAACCCAATTCCGACCCCCTAAGGCCGATTTTATCGCTAATCCCCTTGTCGAGGTGGTGTTAGGAAACCAGTTTAAAGGGCCCTTTAAGTCGACAGAAAGGGCTTCGTAGTGTAAACGTGTCCAGGCTTAAGTCGATTTAACGCGGCTAAAGTCGACCTAAACTCGTAGTGTAGACCAGGCCTCAGATGTTTTCAGTAGTTCTCTTGTGTGGGGAGTGAGGCCAAGAGACGATGTCACAACCCACCTTACATAGCTTTTCCATAAGACAGGAACTTTTTGTTTCAAACTCAGTTCCCAGTCCAATGTGTGGAAAAATACAGGTACCAAAATGGAGTTCAGCATCAAGTGGTTTAGTCAAGTGGGTCAATGTCAAGTGCCTTGCTGGCTCATAGCAGCCATTACTTACAGGCTGGCTGAAACATTTACAGGAAGGCTAAACTCTTCCATGGTCCATTGTCTTTAATGCTTAGCCATCAGCACTGTCTAGCTTCTTCATTGTTGTACCTGAAGGGGTAGCTATGTGTGTTACCCAGAGTAAGCATATTTGAAATACAGATACCTAGTCAATATTCATAACTCCAGATATAAAAATGACACATGCACATAAATAGGATACTCATGCTCAGCAAATGGTAACTTTCCCATAGACACCTCACAAGACATGTCTTGTACAAGATGTATCATAATTATGTCATAATCATATCATAACCATACAACTATGATGAATATGAGGTGAGGTCACCTGACACAGCTCTGACTTGCCCTGGAGGTATTCTGAACTTCATGGACCTTTTGCCACAGAAAAAACTTACAAAGACAGAAGCCTATGCATTCAGAGTGCATGTAATCAAGAATCAAAGACCAACAACCTTGTCAGATGCAGCAAGGCAGTCATGCCGGGCCTAGTGAGAAAGGTGGAAGAACTCAAGAGAGGATTTGATGATACTGGACTTTTTGAAAGGAGATACAGTATAAATCAAATTAAGAAACAATGCTGAATGAGACACTGTACAAATATCTCTACCAGAGAGCCCTTGGAAGAAACTAGCTGCACATTTATGTGTATGCAGAGGACATCATTCCTTGGTCATAGTGGACTATTTTCCCAGGTATATAGAAAACATAGAATCATAGAAGTGTAGGACTGGAAAGGATCTCAAGAGGTCATCTGGTCCAGTCCCCTGCACTCCTGGCAGGACTAAGTATGATCTGGAGCATCCCCGACAGGTGTTTGTCTAACCTGCTCTTAAAAATCTACAATGATGGAGATTCCACAACCTCCTTGGTCAATTTATTTCAGTGTTTTTCCTAATGTCCAATCTAAACCACCATTACTGCAATTTAAGCTCAATGCTTCTTTTCCTGTTCTCAGAGGGTAAGGAGAACATTTTTTCTCCCTCCTCCTTGTAACAACCTTTTATTGACTTGAAAATTGTTATCATGTCCCCCCTTTATCTTCTCTTCTCCAGACTAATAATAATGTACTGAAAGACATAACAAGTCACAGTGTAATCGACAAACGGAAGTGCATTTTTGCTCACTTCAGTATCCCATAATGATAAGTGATGGACAATGGGCCATAATTCACCCCAAGATCTGGAATTCCACTTCTGCTTAGCAGAACGGAGACAATATTGTTAAATAAATAAATATACAATGGTAATTACTAATCACATCCTAGTTCCTTGGGATAAAAATTTCAGTTTGGTTTGTGTGTTTGTCTGTGTGTGATACAGAGAGAGAGAGAGAGAGAGTTCCTTTCATCCAAATATTTCAATTTTAAACTACAGATTAAATTTAATTTACATTCAGTTTCCTGTGCTTTCATTAAATGTCACAGCTTCAACACCCAGTCTGCCAGTCCTGACTGATTTTAGCCATTGTTACTCATGCACATTTTTGCCATTGAAGATAGGGTGACCAGATGTCCTGATTTTATAGGGACAGTCCCGATTTTTGGGTCTTTTTCTTATATAGGCTCCTATTACCCACCACCCCCTGTCCCAATTTTTCACACTTGCTGTATGGTCCCTGTAATTGAAGGTTATGGGACAACTGATATGAGTAAAGATTACAGAGCAGAGTCAGTCTCTGCAGGGTCATGCACTCCATGGGCTCTGTTACATTTCAGTCATTCAGAGCAATGACCTCAGGTAGCAGAAAGTCAATTCCTCTGGGTGTGGGAGGTTCGTTGCATCAGGACAGTTGTTTGTACCGTCTGCATGGAAAACACAGAGCTAACTCCCCAGGCTCAGCCCTTCAGAGATGGACTCAAGGGAGACGCAGCGTGCCATGGAGAAGGATACAAGTCTGAGGAGACGTCTGCACTTTGTACATTGAGTGGGAAGAGCTTGTGCTAAGACAGATCACGGCAGCTGTTTGTCTGTTCATGTACATGCAGGTCTGTCGACTGAGAAGATCCAGATTCTGCAGAATGATGAAACAAAAACTGCTGCTGAAGAGTTCTGGCAGCCAAACCCAGAGACAGACTAGCTCATTGCTTCACGCTTGAGCCATCCAGGTTAGTTTCCTGACTACCCTTCTATATCACCTTCAAAACCGGGGCATGAATGTGTTTTGTGAAATATTAAGAGTTTTGGCCTCACCTTCCCACAGCAGTGCCAGTCCATGATAATAGCACCATTTAACAATGAGGAAATTGAGATACGTCTTGTGAAAGGTCCTCAGCCAAAAAACTGGCCCACTGACTCCAATGGAGCTATGGCCAATAGAGTCCAGCTGGAATCTGGCTCAGTGTGAGTCCCAATGGTGGGGGAGTGGTGATAAAATGTTACTAGCCAAGATCCCCTGGTAGCACATGCCAGATGGTTTCTGAGTTCAGAGGCAGCATCTTTCTTCCCCAGTGCCCTTCTTGTTCCTGTATTATCAGCCCTCAGTCGTTACGAAGTGCGGAGAGTCACTCCCCAATTAGAGTTGCACAACAGCCTGGTTTTGCCCTGTCCTGAAATCCACCCTGAAGAGAGCCAGGATATTATTGTTTCAGAGTTAACAGAGGGAACTCTAATCTAAAACACAAAATGCATTGCCAGTTCCTCTGCATCTCCTCCTCTTTGTTATTATCTTTACATGAAGTAAGGAAGAACTGACTCCACTTCATAATTCATGAAAAACTGATCTCTTGTTCGGGGATGAAAATAATTATTCCTTTTCCTGTAGTACACTGAAATGCTCAATATGCCAAGATCTATTATTAGATTAATTCCCATAAATTCTAACAGACACTAGATGGTATTGAAAATCACAATCCAAGATTTCAATTGATGGATTTATTGATTTGTAACTCTCCTAAGACATGACATGATTCTGGCCATGGCCACCAGTGCAATGCTGCTTTGAAGTATCATTGTTAAATCCCAGTATGTCAGTAGACGGGATATGACAGCAGATCAAGAAGGGGTCTGAACTGTCACCTCACTAATTGGGCTACCAGAGAAATGGGCTGTTGTTATCGTAGTTATGGCTTCGATATGGCAGAGGGTGATTCTGCAGGGATACCACAGTTCTGTTCTCAGACTGAGATTCCTGGCACTTTGCTTTGAAGTTTCTATTTAACCTTAACATTTCAGCGGGTAACCTGAAGCAGGGGAGGAGTTTTTGAAAACGTATGGAATGAATTCCTGACACTTGATGTTCTACTGATTCGATTGCACAGTTCGTTTCATTGTTCCTAGACTCAACCCATGGCTGACACACACTGGGGAAACCAAACAACCGTCACAGAATTCATCGTCTTGGGATTCGGGGATATCCCTGACCTGCAAATTTTTCTCTTTCTGCTGTTCCTAGTGATCTACATCACAACGGTGGCCGGAAACATACTTGTCATGGTGCTAATTGTGGCTGATCAGCACCTTCACACCTCCATGTACTTCTTCCTGGGGAACCTGTCCTGCGTGGAGATCTGCTACACCTCCACCATCCTGCCCAGGATGCTGGCCCGTCTCCTGACTGGGGACAGAACCATCTCAGTCAGTGGCTGCATCACACAGATTTACTTCTTTGGTGTTCTGGCAGCTACAGAATGCTATCTTCTAGCAGCGATGTCTTATGATCGGTATTTAGCGATATGTAAGCCCCTGCACTATTCAGCTCTGATGAATGACAGGTTTTGCCTCCAGTTGGCGGCTGGGTCCTGGTTAAATGGTTGTTTGGCTACAACCATCTTTATATTAGTCATGTCACAGTTAATATTCTGTGGCCCGAATGAAATTGACAATTTCTACTGTGATGTCATCCCAGTGATAAAACTTGCCTGCAGTGACACACATTTGGTGGTGTTGCTGGATTTTATCCTAGCAGGTATATTCACCCTGCCTCCATTCTTACTAACCCTGACATCCTATGTGTGTATCATCGCCACTATCCTGAGAATCCCTTCCACCATGGGGAGGCAGAAGGCCTTTTCCACCTGCTACTCTCACCTCATCGTGGTGACAATTTACTACGGGACCATAATGAGTGTCTCCATGCTACCAACACTCGATACACTGAGAGTGTTAAAGAAAGTGCTCTCCCTTTGCTACACAGTCCTGACTCCCCTGGTGAACCCCCTCATCTACAGCCTGAAAAACAAAGAGGTCAGGGAAGCCTTTAGCAAAACATACAGTAAATATGTGGCATTCAAAAAAACCTGCAGAGATTCCTAGATCATCACTGAGGCTGAGATTTTCAAAGCTGCTCAAGTGATTTAGACAAACAGCCCCCACTGCAATTAAGTTGAAAATTCCCATTGAATGTCAGTGTTGATGTGAAGAAGAAATGGACATAATCTGCATGGAGTGACTGAGGCAGAGTGTTTATAGTCCCTCACTATGTCCATGTAACATATAGGAACGTGAGATTGTGGATCGTTCTTTTAACCTGTTTGAACCTACTGTTCAGCAGTGCAACACTTATACATACTAGATGCTGGTATTTTCTCCATGCTGTTAGTTAAACATTCACCCTAGGTGAGGAGGGTTTATCACATCTTATAATGGACAGAGCTGTCACGTTGTGTAAGGCACAAACTCCACTAAATATCAAAGCAAATCCCTGTGTACATCCCCTGTTGTTCATTGTTTCTCTGTTTTAGACAATTAAATCTGGTAATCAAATTCTGACAGCCTAATACAAATAAAACACAGTGAGTGACAGTATCATAAGGTTTGTTTTTCCAAATTATTTCTTATGACCCCAAAGACACAATGGAGAATCCAGCCAGAGGTCAGATCAGTGTTGTCCATCTAAGCTGAAGGACCAGGGAACATAAGAACATAACATAAGAACAGCCATACTGGGTCAGACCAAAGGTCCATCTAGCCCTGTATCCTGTCTTCCGAGAGTGCCAATGCCAGGTGCCCCAGAGGGACTTCTGGCAAGCAGAGGGTAGGGACACCATCCCTGCCCATCCTGGCTAATGGCCATTGATGGACCTATCCTCCATGAATGTATCTAGTTCTTTTTTGAAACCTGTTATAGATTTAGTCTTCACAACGTCCTCTGGGAAGGAGTTCCACAGGTTGACTGTGCATTGTGTGAAGAAATAGTCCCTTTTGTTTGTTTTAAACCTGCTGCCTATTAATTTCATTGGGTGACACCTAGTTCTTGTGTTGTGAGAAGGAATAAATAACACTTCCTTATTTATTTTCTCCACACCAGTCAGGATTTTATAGACCTCAATCATATTCCCCCTCTTACTTGTCTCTTTTCGAAGCTGAAAAGTCTCAGTTTTATTAATCTCTCCTTATATGGAAGGCTCCATCCCCTCATCATTTTTGTTGCCCTTTTCTGAATCTTTTCCAAGTCCAATATATCCCTTTTGACTGGTGCGGCCACTTCTGTATGCAGTATTCAAGATGTGGGCATACCATGGAATTACCTAGAGGCAATATGATATTTTCTGTCTCATTGTCTATCTCTTTCTTAATGATTCCCAGCATTCTGTTTGCTTTTTTGACTGCCGCTGCACATTGAGTGGATGTTTTCAGAGAACTATCTTCAATGACTCTAGTTGGCAGCCGGTTTCAAGTGGAGTGCCACAAGGGTCGGTCCTGGGGCCGGTTTTAATATCTTTATTAATGATCTGGAGGATGGTGTGGACTGCACTCTCAGCAAGTTTGCAGATGACACTAAACTGGGAGGCGTGGTAGATACACTAGAGGGTAGGGATCAGATACAGAGGGACCTAGACAAATTAGAGGATTGGGCCAAAAAAAACCTGATGAGGTTCAACAAGGACAAGTGCAGAGTCCTGCACTTAGGACGGAAGAATCCCATGCACAGCTACAGACTAGGGACTGCATGGCTAGGTAGCAGTTCTGCAGAAAAGGACCTAGGGGTCACAGTGGACGAGAAGCTGGATATGAGTCAACAGTGTGCTCTTGTTGCCAAGAAGGCTAACGGCATTTTGGGCTGTATAAGTAGGGGCATTGCCAGCAGATCAAGGGACGTGATCGTTCCCCTTTATTCGACATTGGTGAGGCCTCATCTGGAGTACTGTGTCCAGTTTTGGGCCTCACACTACAAGAAGGATGTGGAAAAATTGGAAAAAGTCCAGCGGAGGGCAACAAAAATGATTAGGAGTCTGGAGCACATGACTTATGAGGAGAGGCTGAGGGAACTGGGATTGTTTAGTCTCCAGAAGAGAAGAATGAGGGGGGATTTGATAGCTGCTTTCAACTACCTGAGGGGGGGTTCCAAAAAGGATGGAGCTCTGCTGTTCTCAGTGGTGGCAGATGACAGAACAAGGAGCAATGGTCTCAAGTTGCAGTGGGGGAGGTCTAGGTTGGATATTAGGAAACACTATTTCACTAGGAGGGTGGTGAAGCACTGGAATGCGTTACCTAGGGAGGTGGTGGAGTCTCCTTCCTTGGAGGTTTTTAAGGCCCGGCTTGACAAAGCCCTGGCTGGGATGATTTAGTTGGGAATTGGTCCTGCTTTGAGCAGGGGGTTGGACTAGATGACCTCCTGAGGTCCCTTCCAGCCCTGATATTCTATGATTCTATGACTCCAAGATCTCTTTCTTAAGTGGTAACAGCTAATTTAGACCCATCATTTTATATGTATAGTTGCGATTCTATTTTGCAATGGTTATTATTTTGCACATATCAACATTGAATTTCATCTGCCATTTTGTTGCCCAGTCACCTAGTTTTGAGAAATCATTTTGTAGCTCTTCACAGTCTGCCTGGGACTTAATTATCTTGAGTAGTTTTGTATTATCTGCAAATTTTGCCACCTCACTCTTTACCTCTTTTTCCAGATCATTTATGAATATGTTGACTAGGAGTGGTCCCAGTACAGACCCCTGGAGGACACCACTATTTACCTCTCTCCATTCTGAAAACTGACCATTTATTCCTAACATTTGTTTTCTATCTTTTAACCAGTTAATGATCCATGAGAGGACCTTTCCTCTTATCCTATGACAGCTTACTTTGCTTAAGAGCCGTTGATGAGGGACCTTGTCAAAGTCTTTCTGAAAATCTAAGTACACTATATCCACTGGACCCTCTTGTCCACATGCTGATTGATGAGGATTCTAATAGATTGGTGAGGCATGATTTCCCTTTACAAAAACCATGTTGACTCTTCTCCAACAAATTAAGTTCATCTATGTGTCTGACAATTTTGTTCTTTACTATAGTTTCAACCAGTTTGCCCGGTACTGAAGTCAGTCTTACCTGCCTGTAATTGGCGGGATCACCGCTAGAGCCCCTTTTAAAAATTGGCGTCACATTAGCTATCCTCCAGTCATTTGTCACAGAAGCGGATTTAAATGATAGGTTACAGACTACAGATAGTAGTTCTGCAATTTCAAATTTGAGTTCCTTCAGAAATCTTGTGTGAATATCACCTGGTCCTGGTGACTTATTACAGTTTAGTTTACCAACTTGTTCCAAAACCCTCCACTAATGACACCTCAATCTGGGACAGTTCCTCAGATTTGTCACCTAAAAAGAATGGCTCAGGTTTGGGAATCTCCCTCACATCCTCAGCCATGAAGACCGATGCAAAAATTCATTTAGTTTTTTCCACAATAGCCTTATCGTCCTTCAGTGCTCCTTTAGCATCTTAATCGCCCAGGGGCCTCACTGGTTGTTTAGCAGGTTTCCTGCTTCTGATGTACTTAAAACAATTTTTTGCTCTTACTTTTTGAGTCTTTGGCTACCTGTTCTTCAAATTTTTTTTTCATTTGGAAATTAAAAGGTGCAGGATTCTGCCCTTATAAGTCTCTTATGGAAAGGCTCAGTGACCATTATGAAACAAGCCAGCCCAACAGTATATCAGATAAAAATTGGGCAGCAAACAACACAAGCTATAGTTAAAATGATTCCATTCCCCATAGTTGAAATCATGGAAAGGATGTTTTAAGCAATAATCTATCCTCACCAGGGGGCTAGGAAATGTTTATTTTGTTTTTCAGACACTGTATAGAGAACCTGGCAGCAGCAGAAGAACAACCCAGAACACTTTGGGTGTATTCCTACGACAAAAATTGTGTTGTGTGTTTTGTGTTTGTCTTGTTATTACTGTTATTTTGGGGGATATTATATAAGGAGAGTTAACACATGTAGACCTCTTTGTCACCTGTAATACCTCCAGGGCCAAAAAACCTCCTTAAAGGTTTCCTCAATGGAAAGGATCGTGCACTCTGAAACAACAGCAGGAGAGAAGTGCACAAGAAGCGTGGTTTAACATATTAAATTCAAATAATTTTTTAAAATAAATAATTAGTATAATGAATGTACTATTATAGTTAATGTAAGGTAAAACTTAAGTAATAATACACAATGTGCATTTTATTATGAAATTATCTGTGTTGTTTAATAAAATCATCCTGGTAGGGCTCCATAAGTAATACCATTTTAAAAGGAATTAAAGACCCTGACTACGCATGTAAGGCAAGTACAGCAGCAGTGGCGTGGTGAAATAAATAAGGACAGCAAAGGTCAAAGCATGATATGACCTCCTTGGGGAGCATGATCTACCCAAGTTGGGAGATTACGTGATGTACCGGATTCCAGGAGAACACCATCCATTCCCAGCTCCTAAATGGAGGGGCTCTTATCTAGTCCTTGACTGATTAGGGCCCAGCCTGCTGCTGCTGGGAACAGAGAATGGAGGGTGCAACTGGGTTCATTGCACACAAATAAAAAGGCACAGAATGGGAGTTAAGAAAAAGGACATATATATTGTATTGCATGCATCTTATAGGTGAACCCACAAAGGAAACCAAAGACCCCCTGACCTGGAATGGAACAATCATTGATGCTAATCACAATTATTGCTACTGTAAGCTGTAGCAGGGCAGTCACCCCACTCCTGGAAGAAAAGGTAGGTCAATTGGGGAAGCAGGCCCTGATAAGAAGGGCTAAAGGAGGAGCTGGGTCAGGCTCACTCCACCCTTGGAGTTGAAAGGATTTAGCTGCCTGAAAGCACATGTTACCTGAAGCAGAGCAGTGCTGGGGAAAGGTAAGACGAGCTGGGGAGCTCCAGCCTGGCATCTCCCCAGGCTGAGGCCTTCTTAAGTGCCTAAGGAGGCACTGGGGCTGCAGAGGTGCAGCTCGGGGATAGGCAGAGACAGCTGGTCCAACCCTCTTGCCAATGATGAGTGGCTGTGACAGACTGCAGTTTGCCCCAGAGAAAGGGGGCTGGATGATGA